GGTCGAATATGAACGATCCAGAAATTCCGATTGAAGTAACCCGAAGTTTCTGTTTAAGTTAACAAGATTTTTGGTTGACTTAAACAGAATTCGGGTTACTTCAATCGGAACTTCTGGATCGTTCATATTCGACCAGATATTTGGTTAATTCAACCAAACCTTTTTTTCCGTGCAGCATCCACTGAAATGGATACCACTGTTTTTCTGTGACTTATTATTTAAGTGAATAAAAATTACTCATCTCTATCATGATTATACTTTAGGTTATCATTATTTTTCTAAATTCAGTCTTGTTAAGGCTTCCAGTATAAGCACAAGTTATTCACGCTTCCTTTCTAAAGTTAATGCTTTCAGTATAAGAACCAAGTTTTCCAACCTCTTAGTATGTTAACAAACATTTAAATCATATGTCTTTGTTTTTCTTGAAATCGGACAAAGACAAACGCACTGAGAGAAAAAAATAGTTGGAATAACTATAATCTCACTTTATTTTATAATTTTTGGCCTCAAACATATATTTATAGTTCATTTAAACACGAAGATATAGCAAAATGAACACACATTTATAGTCACCATCTTATTACTTTATATGTATAGTAAAGCACGCTTTGGGAATATAGTTACATGTACTCATATTTTTCAAATATCCAATTGTACTGACTATATAAAATAGTTAATTTCTCTTATCATTTAATATTTGCTACCTTACTATATTTTTTATTTCAAATAATTATAATTCTTGGTAAAAGTTTTACATGAGATAGTTATACTATGCTTATACGAGTATTGTAAATATTACAAACATTATGGTGACATTTACTATAAAAAAGATATTCCTAACTATAATCTTTTTACTATGCCATTATAGTTTCAAATATCATAAATTTTTCTCTCTGTGACCTATTAATTATCTTACCAAGAGGTTGGAAAATCGGCTACTCACGCTATCTTTAGGGTCAAAGATCACAACAACGTTACGTTAGCCGCGCGAGGCCCTCGACGCGCCTAAGCTATCCAGGTAAGCCAGGTCCGTAGGCCGTTAGGTGCGACCATAGATAATAGGAGCGCACGACGATCAACACGGAAAGAGAGAGGAAACGGCGAAGCGGGAAAGATCGGTAGAGGAGGGTCCGGGGTGAGCGAGAGAAAGTGTCATCCTGCTGTAGAGGCGCGGAACGGCGTGTCCGGCCATGGAGGAACGTGTGTCTCTCTACGCATCGCCGCCGCCGCCGCCGCCGCCACCGTGCGGATGCGTGCGTGCGTGCGTGAGTGCGTATAGATGCGGCGCCAAATGTTTTTGAAACCGTAAGACGCACGCCGCGCTCTCGCCGGTTCACTGACCGAGTTATGACGTCACCGGGCGCGAGCGCGATACCCCGCGGCCCTCCGCCCCGCTGCTCCGTACCGATCCTCCTCCGGATCGCCGTTCCCCGCGCTAACGGTCGCGACTAGACGAACTACGACGACGGTACCGCCGCCTTTTCACGCGCCTGTGACACGCGCGTGCCGCGTAGGTGCGAGCGCGCGTGCACGGGTGGGCGCCACACGTGACGCCTTTTTTCTCTCTCCTCCTCCTCCTCACTCGCTCTTTCTCTACCATATTCTTGTTATAGGTGTTTTAACAAGCTCAGAGAGGAAGAGAGAGGAAGGGGGAGAGAGAGAGAGAGAGAGAGAGAGAGAGAGAGAGAGAGAGAGAGAGAGAGAGAGAGAGATCGCCGTCACGGGATGTAGAACAGACTGCCCGAATCCGTTCGGTCGCGACCGATCGATCGTGGAATGTGAGGTCGGATTATTTGGGCGTTCGCCTCCAGCACGTGGGGGCTCGACGCGCGATGACGATAAGAAAATAAAGCTCGCGGTTTCCTCTCCGTTCTTAAATTGCTCGTCACCCGTTAATCTTCTTCTCTGACGCATTCCGCGCGGCGTGTAATCGCGTTTGCTCTGCGAGAGCGCTCGGTCGTATTGTTCCCGTTGCGAATTCTTTCGATGCACGCGAGAGTCTCGATACGCGCGAACGTCTCGTCCCGATGCAAACGTCGTCTCGCTCGCACACACGCACACACCCGCCTACCGACATATTTATTCAATTAGTGGCTGAACGACAAAGCACATATCTGTCCGCGTCCATTTTCCCGAGACCTCTTAAATCCCCCAAGTGCAGCGGGCGCTCGCTCGCGAGCACAGCAGAGTGCATTGGCTTCTAGCCCGCATTTGCATTCCCCGCGATCTTCGCGTACAGGGTGTCCTCCTAATTCCCGCCTACCGGTCGCGTGGGTCGTGATGAATATCGAGTGAAAGGCGCGCGCGGCTGTCTTGGCACGCCCGGCGGCTGCGGGATTTTCGTGGAAAACGAGGAAACGCGTGGTTTCTCCCCCTTTTCTCTTACTACGAGGTGGAACAGAGATGCATCCAACGATTGTCTCAATATAAGCGCCCGGTCGTTCCCGCTTATTTTCGTCGATCGATCATTCTACGGTTGCGTTCGCTTCGGAAGGCCTTCGCGCTGAAAGCATCGCTCCATCTTCCTTCGACACTTAATTAGTAACGATAAGATAAAGCAATAGTTTTCAGTGCGAAAGCGTCCAACGCCGCTCACGAGGAAGCGAGATCAGCGCGACGCTCGCGACGAAGAGTCGACGTGAGAATCCGCGCGTCGTGGCCACGATTTGCCTCCTCGTTGTCATAATCGATGGGTAAATGATGATTAAGCCTCACCTCGAGCGTCTGCCGTAAAGTGAGATCGGGGAAAAAAACATCCTGCTGTTGTACGTAGCAGATTCTTCTGCGCCACCGTTTGGTGAGCCTCTCGCGATTCAGCCAGATCTCACCGCCGTCCAAGCCAACGCGCCCGGACAAACAGTTCAGCAATGTTGTTTTACCACAGCCTGTAACAAATGTGTCAGACAACAATTTAACACCTCCGCGCTGCTGTCGTACAAGCTTGTTGTGTCGACAAGCATGTTCCTCGCGTATCCGCGCATCACGCGTCAAAAGATCCAACGGGCGAATCGTAGAAAATCGTCGCGTGACATCGTGCGTAACACCGATAATAATGCGTTCTCGTTAATGTCCGTGGTGGCAGTAATGTTTCTTGCGCCGCGAAAATTAGTAGATTCTCGCGCACTTTAAGCGATATCTCGAGACCACCGAGGGATACATCTGAAATTTATTCACAGACGCAAATATGAAGTAACTTCCTGTCGGGCGCAACCGATCTGACGAGCGCAGCTTTTACACATATTAGATCATTTTATTATGAAAAAAATTTTATCTTGTACACTGCCTTTTATAATAAAGCTGATATATAAAATTAAACCAAATAGGTGTGCGTAAGCTCGACAGCAGCTTTACGCGGTCGCGTTTCGTAAAGGTTACGTTTCTTATGAGTGACTAATGTCCTCTAAGCAGAGTGACTAAGCACCTCTTTCTGAACCTTTTCCAGTTGATGTAATCGAATGGAAATAGCTTGTCGCTTCAAATCGAAATTTTAACCTTATTTTCGATCTGAACTATCTGTATATTCGGAATGATCAGAATATGTTTAACTCGTAACAGGCTGAAAA